CAGAACAAAGCCCTTTCTGTTTTATTGACCAGAATTGTATTATAGGACACTCTGTAAACCAATTACTGGTGGGGAGAGGGAAAAGGGCTTTTACTGGTGTCCACTCAGAGAGGAGAAGCTTAGCACACAAGGCCCCAGTAAGAGCAGATGTTGAAATGAAACGAAAAGAAGAAAGGACAAAGGTCAAGCCAGCTCTTCCCAGCCAGCTGTGGCTTTTCACTCCTCATCATCCTTTTTAGTTACCACAAAACCCGGCCAGGCTGCAATGGTCACTGTCCCTGCTCTAGTCCCTCAGGTTCCTCTTCTCCGTCTCTCCTCTCCTATCCACGCTTGACTCCTCCTCTCCTGTGGCCTGCTCGCCATGCTTTTCGTTTCTCTTAAATGCTCTCTGCTACTCATCCAGGGCGTGTGCGTTTAATCCACAGGGCTTGGTCGTAGTCAGCGTCCAGTACATATTGCTGAAGAGAGAAATGGGAGGCGGTATGCTTCCCCAGTGCAAGGAAAGTGATGCAAGAGTGCTCTAGCACCCAGATGGGGAATGCAGGAGGGAATGAGTATGTCTTTATTGTCGTCATCACTCCAGGAATCTTGAGTTTCCTGTCTGGCTTGTCTGGTGTTCAGAGGATTTGGAGAAGGATGGGTGGATGGATGGATGGATGGATGGATGGATGGATGGATGTCTAACTGTGAGGCAGCAACACGAGCCTCTCCCCCTCCTCACATCCTCTCTCCCCACAATGTCTTCAGCTCCACAAAAGAAGATCCCACTGTGCCATGGCCAGGCCACTAGCTCCCCGTTTCAGATCTGTCAGCCCTTCCCACAGTCAAGCCATACCTCTCAGCGCCTCCTTAGGCTCTCCCGGCCGCCGTGACTCTGCATGTGCGCGAATGCGTGTGTCTCTCTGTCTGTGTGTACTTACCATTCTCCTAGGCTCAAACCTACCTAGGGTCCCTTCTCACAGTAAAAGGTTGAGAGACCCTACAGCTTCGACACCCCCACCTCCACACTCTTTACCCCCACCTGCTGCCCTGGTGTTCTCTCACTTTTAACATGCTTGGATTCCCAGGCCTTCGCTCTACCCCAGGCCAGAGTGCTTTTTAGTTTTATTTCAGCTTCTCTCTGCCAGAACAGATCTCTTTTCAAATAGCATCTTAATGTCAAGGCCCTCTCTGTCTAGCTACTCTGTACAAATTATCATTTAAAATAATTGATAATTTGATAGATGACAGATAGGTACATGGATAGATGATAAATAAATATTCCCCCAGCCCTGTTACCCTGCTTTGCTTCCTCCATAACACTTGAGCATTATCTAATACAGCCTTCTGTTGCTGTAACAGAATATTGAAGACTGAGTAAGCTATAAATAAAAGAGGTAGCCACGTGTGATGACCCATGCCTTTGATCTCAGCACCCAAGGGGCAGAGACAGGAAAATCTGTTAGTTTGAGGCCAGCCTGGTCTACATAGTGAGTTCCTGGCTATCCAGGAATACATAGAGAGACCCTGTCTCAAAAACAAACAGACAAACAAACAAACAAAAAACTCACAAGAGTTTGTTTCCATCCATGGTCCATAGAGGTTGGGAGGTCTGAGGATATGTTGAAGGTGTCATGATGGCCCAAGGTAAAAGAGCAAAGGAGACATTCTGGGTCACTCACACTGTCATCTAAGGAACTGGTGCCAGTCTCTAGAGATCGGCATTCATTCTTCACGATGACCCAACCACTCCTTTAAGGCCCCACATCCCAACACCCCCACAGTGACACTCAAAACCAAAGCCAGACTGTGGTAGACAGGTCCATTGCTCACGTCTGTGTCTCCTCTTCAGCAGGAAAGGTCTCTGCTTATTCCTGCTGAGCCTAGGTCAGTGACTAGCAGAGCCTCATAACCTGTGTGACATACTCGGCTGCCAAGTGTGAAATGGGGTGTATGCGTGAGCACCCTGAGTGGACAGATGCTAGGAGAGGCCAGGCTGAAGAGTAGGTACAGGCAAGACCACCATTCCAGCCTGGCCAGGACTCAGTTTCTTAGTCCCACTTGGGATTAAAGAGCTCGGAGCAGGAAGTGAGCCCTATGACCCAGGGAAAGGCTGCCAACATGCCTGGAGGCCCACACAGAGTCAAAGGAGAGTTGGATGGAGCCTCAGGGCTCCACTGCTGCCCTCCTGGTCAGACAGAACACTGGGGCAGGGTCCTGTGATGGGCACCCTCAGGCAAAGCTGAATGGGGAGAAAAGGGGGGACCCCCAGCTACTACAACATTGGCAGGCTGTATGGAGTGCAAAGAGCTGGCAGGCGGCCAGGGAGCCTGGCCAGCTGCCCAGAGGGAGGGCCTAAAGGCTGAGGTACAAAGGCCCAGGTCAGGGAGGGGAGGATGGAAGGCAGGGTCCCTGGGGTGAGAGTGCACAAAGGGCCAGCTTCATCCAGCCAGGTGCCCCCAATGAGGGCCTCATCTCCCTAGAGGGATACCTTTCCCCATTCCCCTAGTATGAAGGAGAGTCCAAGGCCTGGGTTCAAGGTTTGCTCTGGCCTGGGTAGTGCTTGGGAACTCAACTTGCACATCTCTGAAGTGGGGGGTCTGAGTGCAGGCCTTGGCTGCCTTCCAGCAAGGGCACATTCCCACCTCATCCTCAACTCCCCAGACACAGGCTAGTGCCTGGACTTCAGGTGAGCCTCTGCTCCCTCCAGCCTCTCTGCTGCTTTGTGTCTGGCTCCCCTTTGTTCCTCTAGACTCAGCCATTGTCTCTTCTCTAAGAGCTCCCAGACCCCTTCCCATGATTCTCCACTTCCTCCAGCCTTTTGGCCATGCCTTTGCCTTCTTTTCACCCCTTCTCTCAGTAGTTGACATGATGCTGTGGACCCTCCCCTTCACACTCTGCTCCCCTCTCCACATACCTGAAGGTCAATTCCCCAAGGCCCGGACTCTGTTTATTGATGTGTCCCCAGTGCCCCACTCCTGGGCTTGTGTCAGGGAAGTGCTGGTAAATATTTATGGAGAGAGCAAAGGAACACGGGAAACTATGAGGTCTGTCTCCTGGCCACAGGCCCCATCTGCTGCCTCACACACGTTAGAAGTGCACTGAATGAGTGAGGGAATGAATGAATGAGATTCTTTTCTGTCTCCTAAGTTGCATTAGACAGTAGTTTGAATGGACGCGTGAATGCCAGGATGCTGCATGCCCCCCCCCCCCTTATAAGAGATGTTATGAACAAAGAAATAAAGGAAGAAGGGAGGAGACAGAGCCAATGGCAGCCCAGTGCCTGCAAACACTGGAGGAGCTTCCTGGGGCCCCAGCCTCCCTATAATCTCCAGTCCCCAGTCCTCAGCACCATGTGTTCCTGCCTTCATCCCCCATGTTGCTGCGGGGCCCTGCAGCCTTGCTACTGCCTGCCAGAGCCAGGGGAACAGCCCCCAAGGCAGGCGAGGCACATTCAGGGAGCTTAGAAGCTCCAGGAAATGAAAGCTCCGGAGGGCACCCCTCCTCACCCATAACTCCAGCCTCATTACGACCAGCCAGCCAGGCCATCATGCGAGGAATGGGAGCCAGCTTCCCCAAGGCCATAGTGAGGCAGAGGCAGCAGGGACAGCTGGGTGGAAGAAGTCACACACGGGGCACAGAATGGGGTGGGGGGACTCTGTCACAGCGTGTCCCTGCCTGTCCCCACCCGTCCCTGTGCGCTGTGGCCGTCCACCTCTGGCCATCATCTTTGATGTCCGCCGTCCTCTGGCCTTCAACTCACCCCAGAGACCCCAGCACTCGGAACCGGGGGAGTCCCATCCCCACCCCAGCTCCCGGGGTTGCGGTTCGTGTCACATGATGGCGTAAAGTTTCCCCACTGCAGGAAGGTCCAAATGGTGCCCCACAATTCCCATCCCAAGCATTCGGAGTACTTCCTCGTCCCAGACCCTCTGCCCAGCCACACCCTTCACCCTGTTACTGTATCCTTCCTAAGAGCCTGCACTCCCAACATCACCCCTTCCTTCCCAGCTGCTCGGGTACCTCTTCCTACAGGAAGCTGCCCTGATTCCTCTCCTTTCCAAATGTCCGAACCCCTCAGCCTTCACTCTGTCCTCTCAGGACACTGGGCACACGGCCCTCATATCATGGGCTGGTCTTGTCTCCCGTGACACTGAACTTATCCACCTTGGTTCCCTGCAGCTAGGTTAAGCCTGGCTCAGTGCTGAGGCCAGCGGAAGGAAGTTCTTGTATGGAGCTGTCCTGACATGGGATAGGGCAGGGAGCCCTGCCCTTCATTCATCTTCTCTGTACCTGAAATTCCTGGTGGAAGCATGGCTGTCCAACAAACACCCACATTAGGCCATTATTTCTCATTATGGCTGCAGTAGGCGTGAGCAGCTCGGAGCCTTCCTTGCTGAAAGCAGAGTCTGAGGGAAGGAGAGATGGATGAATCCACAGCCAGCCTGTGTTGGGGGGTGGAGGGGGAGATGGGAAAGGCTGAGTGGGGGACTGGAGACACCAGGCTCAAAAGATGTGACTTCATCCAGAGTTACTCCGGTGTTCCAGTCAAGCCCCTCTAAGGCTCCAGGGCCTCTCTCCACCAGCGAGACAGAGGTAGCAGCTACCAGCAGGCTTCCCCTGGGTCTCCCGCTGCTAGGGGAGAGCTAAGGGAGAGCCTGGAGAGCAGCATGCCTGGGGCTTCTGGCTCCAGGAGCCCTTCTAGTAGCTGCCTCTGCCGGGACTGCAGAGGATCCGGCTGTGCCTTAACCAGGACCTAGGCAGGCAGTCACTGTATCTGCCTTGGGGGTCTGAGGGCTGGAGCAGCAGCTGGAAGAGCTGGAAGGGGCCTTAGGAGGTGAGAGAAGGGACCAGGGCTTGGGGAGAGGTTAGTCAGCTCTCCAGTCAGCCATCAAACATCACTATTGTGGCTGTTCCTGCGTAGGAGGCACACAGTAGGTGTTTAGTTACAGCAAGGCCAGTCACAGTGGCAGCCTGCCTCTGACAGAACCCCATCCCACGGTTTCTCTTTTGTCCCACAGGTTCCCGATGGATCCGGATGACCCCTAGGCCCGGAAGGACTTCAAGATCCCTCTGCCCCCACTGACCACATCGTATGGGCGCAAGGACCATGGCACAAACCCTCCTCAGGAGCAGCGGCCGTTCTGCCTGGTGATTGGGCCCGGGGCCTCAGAGAGGGGGGCGCGGGCCAGGACCGGGTGTCCATGCCCGGGTGCGGCCGCGCCCCCTCCCAGTCCAGCCTGGCATCCCCGAGGCTGAGGTCACCATGTGACGCTGCACCGCTGCGGTGCCTCTGGTCCATGCTCCGGGGCCTGGCCCGCGCTGCCAAGCATGAGGCCACGGCCGGAAGGGGCGCTGCGGGCGGGGGCCACGCTGTCGCCCCTGTTGCTGCTGCCGCTGCTACTGCTGCTGCTACCGCTGCTGGGGCACCTGTGGGCCGCAAGCACACCTGCCCCAACCTCCTCGCCACCTGGGACTCAGCAGGACAACCAGCTGGGCCGAGTGAAGCGCGGCTGGGTGTGGAACCAGTTCTTCGTGGTGGAGGAGTACACGGGGACAGAACCCCTGTACGTGGGCAAGGTAAAGTGGGGCCCGCTTCCAGCCCCAGCTCTGGGAACACCCACTCATAGTCCCTGACCCTATCTTCAGCTTCACCTCAGCCAGCTCCTGCCCCGTGTGCTCTCCAAAACCTCATGCCTTCCTATTACACATGGACTGGGGGAGACCAGTTCATGCCTGGGTACTGTGGGGCAGCCGGCGAGTTCACAGGGCAGACCAGGTCCCGTGTGTACCCTGGCCACTTCCCTGGACCTCGATAACTTACCCGGGGTCCCACCTGAATTTGAGCCTGCTCCCTGAAGAGCTCTGGTCTTCTGTAGCTGTGCCTCTGGCCACCCTGACACTCCCCCGTCTTTGGATTCTGAGCTGCCTGGTCTTATGCCTGTCTGAAAGTCCATCTCAGGCCCCGGACATCTTCTGTTGTCCCTCTCCCCAAAATGTGTCCTCTCCTCCCTGCACCTCCCTCTCCTACTAGATACCTGACACTCACTGTGAGGTCTCAACTCAAATGCTGCTTTCTCAGAGAAGCCCTCCCTGGCTACACCATGCTAGGGCACGTGAGCACACACACACACACACACACACACACACACACACACGTGTATGCCTGTGCACTCACCCCTGAGGTCTCTGTATCTGTCCTGCAGATGAATCAATTATACATGTGTTTGCTGAATGTGTAATTGACACATGCGTCTTTCATCAAAGCATGTTTGGTCATCGTTAAATCCCCAAGGCCTGGTACCAGTGAGGCTCACACAGTGTTCTGGGAGGGAGGGAGGG